AGCTCACTGAGAGAGGCAGGAGGGCTGGCACTGTGAAGGGAAGGACCCCACTGGGAGTGACTTGTCTGTCGAATTCTTTCCTTCCAGGACCTGCACCAAAGGACTAAATTGGCACGGCCCAGCTTCCTATCGCAGGTGGTAAGTAGGTTGGCAATGTAGGCATGGCTAATGTTGAGCTCTACCAGGCATATGCTTACAGGGCTTGAACTCACGGAAAGGCCACGGCATTAATTAGAAAAATGAACAAAAGGTAATTACTTTGGAGACTTGGCAATGCAAACCTATCATTTGATAATTCTCTCCTTGTGGCTGGCACGTGACTTGGAAGTGTGGGGATGCTGGCTTGGGGTGATTTTTAATTTAGATGAACGGGAAAGGCTTCTAATTGGCGAGGCGTTCTGAATGGAGTGCACTTTGCTTAAAGCTCCTATACTTGCCAGAATCCAAGATACAGGAAATTGTTTTGATCCAGTGAGAATTCGAAAATACTGAGAAAGGTTTCTTTCCCAGCAACTTTGCGCCCACTGATACAGCTTCCCAAGAAGTTCAGTTCAGCAGAGTTCAGATATTTCAACCCTGGCTGTAGACCTGTGGTAAATACAAGATACACATGGGCCTCATCAGCTTTGAAGGGTGCCTGGGTCTACTCTTTCCATCTTGTCCCTTTCAAAAGCATGGAAATTGGAACCCCAGGAAGAAAGAGCATTTTTGTGGACAATTTACTCCAGTATATGCATTTGTTGTTGTTCTTTTTATTCATTTATTAAACTTAGATCCCACTTTTCCTCCCAAAGGACCCCAGAGCAGCAAACAATGAGAGATAAAACAATAAAAAAGCATTTTAGCAATATCTTCAGGACATCTTTAGATTGACCCTATTACAGATACACACAGTGAAAAATCTCAACTTACATGATTTATTGAAAGAGGAAAATCTTCAGTGGGTGCTGAAAAGACAGCACCTGCTCATCTTCAAGGGTAGGGAACTTCCAAGGGGCAGGTGGAACAATCCTAAAGCCCTGATTCCTACATTGTGCAGAATGGACCTCCTTATAAGATGGTCTCTGCAGGAGGCCTTCACCTGCAGAGTGCACTGGTTGATTGGGTATATAAGGGATGAGATGATCTTTCAGGTATTCTGGTCCCAAGCTGTGTACATATGGCTTTATACACTGAAACCAACACTATGAGCTTAGACTGATAGGGTGGTTGTTTTTTGTTTTTTGTTTGTATACATTACAAGCTGGAGAACTGCACTGCAAAAATGGGAGAAGTGCAAATTTTGAAGGATGGCTGTCTCTCAGATCCTGTATTGTTTCAGAAAGTTCAAATTCAGCAGGTTCACCTTTAAATGCAAACTGAACTGAATTTTCCATCCATCCATTTCTACTAGTCTCCCTGCACACAAATCTGAGCATATGATAGCCAACGTCGTCTAATCTCTCTCCAAACTCACCAAATTTGCATATGCTTATTCACAATAATAGACACAAAGTGAGAAATATATATATCTGAAGCTGAATTTCACAGAAAGCAAGCTAATGCACTTCCCATCCAAATCTCCCACCTTCAATAAATATACTTCCCATTCATTACCCACTCAAATATCTTCATATCTATTATTCTATTTGCACTTCACCCTGGAACCTCAGATCAGTTTCTTTTTGCGTAGTTGGATTCAAATCAACTGCCCTTCAATTAATTACCCCGTTCAGGCATCACCCCACAATCACCCCTAAATAAATTACATTCATCTTAAACAGGATGGTAAGCATTTGGATAGAATTTATTATGGCTTCAGGTTTCATGGATAGGAGTCCAGTTTGTCAGCTGCAGAAAGGAATGCCCCCTATGATGCATGGAGTTATCTGGGAAGACTGAACTCTGTATGAAACACTAAGCTGCCACAAACAGCCTTGGAGAACAAACAGGGAGCATGTTTGCTTCAGTGCTTGTTACCCCAACCCCTTAGAAACACATCATCCTTTTATATTATTTTCCAAACAAATCTGCTTGCAGAGGCAATCACTCTTTAGTTTGTTGACCATTTGAACCTGTTCCCAAAGACTGCTGTGCCAAGCAAACCAGCAACTTTGCTTGAATTGATTCCAGTGGCTGTTTTGACCTCCAGCACAACATTTGGAGAAAACTAATTAATTTCAATGGTCACTTGGCCTCATTCTTCTAAATATGAATAACAGTTTATGGGAAATGAGAAAAGGGAGTGGGATCTCATACCCCTCAACTGTCCTGGAAAAACTGGGACATCCCTTTTTTTCCTCATGAGAGCACGGCAGCCATTTTAGGTGCTGCGATCACACATGATTTCATGCCACGATTTCTCCACAAAAAGCACTTTTTTCAGGGTTGTGATCTCATGTGGCACCCCAAAACACACGTTTTTGGATGTCATGCCCGAAGAAAGCCCTTTTTTCAGGGGGAAATTGTGGCACAAAATCACATGGCACCATGGCAACAAAAATGGCCTCTGTGCCTTTGTGAGAAAAAAATAGGAAGATGGTGTTCTGGAAGGGGGTGTCGCAGCTTTTCCCTTCAACATGTTGGAGGATATGGGATCACTCCTCTAATCCCATGTATTTTTAGCTGCTGCTACACAACAGCTACTAGCAAATGGATTATGGCTCACAACAAGGCAACTCTGCCTCATTCAGTCCTGGGCTATCTTCTTCTAGTGGCCCCACCCTGCCTGTTTCTGACATTTTGGTCCCAGGTGGAGGTGCATCACTGAGAGGCTCTTACTAAGAGATGAGGTGGCTGACCAGATGGTCTTTCTACTTCTTCTTCATTCATCCTTGTTCTGAGAAATGATGGTATGATGAACCATTGTGTCTGTTCTCATTTGTATGGGGGAAAGTGGCTGTTCTTAGGACACAGTGTCCCTGGCACAGAAAACAAGGGTATATGATCATGCCCTTTTGTTTTGCAAGGACTTTTGAGGTTTCAGTGTGCACAGTGCAGAAGGCTGGCAGTGGGAGCTGAGCCGCCATCTTGCCTTTGGGTTGAAAAAGAAGCAAAATTTAGAAAAACCAGGTACCCCATCTAATAGTAAGAGCAGGCAAGATGTCGTGGGTCTAGTAAAATAAGGTGCTGCATATGGGGACATGGGAGACTGGCCAGGACATCACTTGAATACTGGACTGTTCAGTTTTGTAAAGGGCACCTTCCACAGACCGAGCTTTACTCCAAAGTGTCCCCTGACCAAATGTGAATAAACAAATCACAAGAGTTTGACCATGACCATATAAAATCAAGTTGCTGTGTCAAACGGAAGCCTGACAAGCAAAGCAGTGCTCTCCAACACTGCTTCATTAAGGTTGTGAAATGAGATGACACTTGTGATTTTAATCCAATAGTTATGCTAAAGTTAATATCTGTTTATGGCAGCTGGCAGGGAAGTCTGTGTTTGCTGTCAATGTCTGGCATCCTGCCTCTGGTGACAGACAAGCTAGACCTTCAACAAAATGTCGCAGTGTATCCAAACATCCTTGCGGGAGTGCATCTGATCAGGGTCTGTGCAAGCCTGCAATGCCTTCTGCTCAGATATTGTTGAGGAGCTCAAGCAAGACATTCCATCCCTTCTCCTTCCCTGGTTTTCCAGATTTCTTTTCCAGGCAATGTTCTGTGGCTACTGTGCAGGCTCAGTTCTTTGAAGGCACTTTGGGTTGTGGTAGTTGTGCTGGAGTGGTCCTTATCCCCCTCCTCCTTTTTGCACTTCTACAAATGTCAACGTTTCCACATAGCACACTTGTATCTTGAATCAGTGGCTCCATTTTGGCTAACATAATCTGCCTTCACCATTTTTTATTATGTATGACAATCTGAACAACCTCCACCCTGCGCTCTCTCTCTCTCTCTCTCTCTCTCTCTCTCTCCCTCTCCCTCTCCCTCTCCCTCTCTTTCTGAATTAGTGCTGAAGAGGAGGGAACAGGTGTTTCTTCAGGTACCCAGATCCCAAGATGTATAGGCCTTCAAAGGCTGGAAAAGGCCCATAGCTCAGTGGTAGAGCATCTGCTTCACATGAAAGAAGGACCAAGATCTCCAGGTAGGGTTAGGAGAAACCCCCTCCCTGAAACCCTGCAGAGCCTCTGCCAGCTACATGGAAAAACAGTCTGGCTCAGTATAAAGCAACTCTTTAAAGGCAAGTACCAAGACATTAACGCAATGATCGCCATAAGAAGTAGTGTTGCCTACCAACCTGTGGGGCTTCAAAAGAGGATTAGGCAAATTCACAGCGAATAAGACTACCAGTGGTTGCTAGCCATGATGTCTATGCTGCACCTCCACTGACAGAGGCAATATGTGGGCTTCCCATAGGCATCTGGTTGGCTGCTGTGAGAACAAGATGCGGGAACGAGTTGGACCTTTGGCCTGATCCAACAGTTCTTTTCTTACGTTCGTTGAATTGTGCTCAGAAAACCGAAGCAGAACTGTGCTCCTAAAGCAACTGGCATGATTCCATGCTTAGAATGAGACCCCCCCACCCTCATCTTCACATTTTATACATTTCTACCGATTTGTCAAAAGTAGATTTTTTTTTTTTTTTTAAAAAAACCTCCTAGTCATTTATCAGCAGTGGAGCTTTTGACTTCAAATGTTCCTCCGTGGAAACCAATTGTCTTCTTGTGAAGAGTCTGCTCAAATTAAATCCCAGAGCCGGTCTCCCAATATTTCTTCTGAACCGCTATGTCGTTACAAATTAACATGGTGACCTTTTAAATTGATGAGGCCTATCCACAGGTCCTCATTGAAAGCTCTCCGGTTTTTGGCAGGATGCGGGTATGCCACTTAACTTTTTAAATTACAGCCGTATAAGGGGCTCTGTTATAGAAGGACTGAACCGAGCCTTGATTCAGCAACTCACCCCAGCTAATCAGCCAGTTAATATTTACACAGCAGTCTGCTAGCAGGTACCTTGCGAGGGGCGGGGGATTCTTTCTATTATAACAGGCACAAGTTTCTTCTGTATTGAAGCAGGAAGGGCTATGGCTGAATGGCAGAGCCCTTTCTTTGCATGCAAAAGGTCCCAGGTTCAATCCCTGGCATATATCCAGGTAGGGCTGGAAATGACTACCTGAAAACCCAAAGAGCTGCTGCCAGTCTGTGTAGACAATACTGAGAGAGATGGACCGAGGGTGTGACCTGCATTGTAAATTGTAATTGGGAAATTAAGACATGTAGTGTAGTTCCTCTGGACCACTTTACTATGCATTAGCCAATGAAGCAGAGGAGATTGTTATGCTGAGTGTGTGTGTAGCCTAATAGTTGTATAGTAGTTAGAAGAGGCAGATGGGGCTCATCAACCTCCTAGTGCACCTCGGAGAAGGAAAACTCTGATCCTAAACCTCCATTGCTTTGTGGGATATCTTCAGGAGAAAAAAGGCGAAGGTCTCCTTCTGGCAACTCAAGCTGGTGCCAAATGTGCTGCTCTGCTTTCCTTTGGACCACATCAACAAGGCTGAGAGGGGTGGGTTCTTGTCAACTGGGCAGCACAGGACCTCCATACACACTGTCCAGGCTAGCGACTTTGGCACTGCTAACGCTTTGACTTGACCCCCAGAGGCGTATTATCTCTCAAGACAGATGGGTGCCAACAACAACTGTGTGCCAGGCTAGGACTGAGGAGATCCACTCAGTTATTAATCTCACTGGATGACTGGAACTGGGTGATAGAGCAGGGTCCCTAAATGCAAGAAGTAGTTCCACATGGACCCTCCTCACATCACATGGAGAAGGTTGGGGGCAGAGTGGAGGACAACAACGTTTACAAAGGTGTTGGAGGTTGGGATTGCAAATGTCTGGACATGGCTGTAATGTCTGGTATATCTGAGGAGCTACCTTCTTCCATGTGAATTTGTCAGTTCATGGAGGCCCTTCTTTGAGGCCAGGTACATTTGGAGACTACTGTAGGTTGGTAGCTACCAAATGTGTGCGCCAGTTACATAATGTTCTCAGAGAGATGTTGCCCTGTCTTTTAGGCATTGAGTCAAAACCATTTTTTGGGTCAAAAATAACATGGGGTTATATCCAGTGAAGTTGTATTGTTAGTGCAAGGACTTCTGCTTATGCAATGGGACTTCTTCTCCTTCCCCTCTGCCTGTGGGCACCTACCTCCCCCCCCCCCGTCAATAAATCTGTTCTGGGTTTTTACTTATGTTTCTGACACACATTGAAGGTTTTCAAGGGCCACATGGGGAGAGGAAAGGAAGAAGTTTATCCACTAAGAGTATGGCTGTATTGGATATAACCCCTGACATTCATGCCTTTTCTTGCCTCCCTGTTTTGCTAGTGGTGGATCTCGTTCCTGGCTTGTGCTTTAGTCTATGACTCCATTTTATTTCAGCTCATAAGCTGCCTTGATCACCTTGCAGTGGAAAGGTAGGTATTATACTGTTTCAAATTAAATATTAAATAAGTACATTAAAATTATGTTCCTCCAATTTTCATGAACCCAGAATTACAAAGCCCTTGTAACACCAGCTCCTAAAATTAGGATACTGCTGCAAAATATTCTCCTCCAATCCCTTTAGAAATTCAGCTTAGCACCCTTGAGGTGCAGCTAAGTCTGGGGGAGAGGGGGCAAAATCAGCCTAAAAGCTTAAGAACCTAATAAACTGGTATTAATTTTTAAAATCCTATAATTTTGGAGTGCCTGCCTCACAATTTACGGGTGCTTGTGGGTAGCAGAACAGTTAATCCCTTCTCTCCCTACTTTCCTTCAACGAATGCTTAAGAGCTAATGAAGTAGAATCAGTTTAATTCCTCAGTTTAATTCCTCTATATCCTGCTGTAAGAGAGGCAGGGACTTAATGAACTAATGGATCTTTGCAACAACTCGAAAGGACAGTGTGATAGCCTGACTCTCATATTTCACTGGTTAGAACTTTTGTTCATTAAACAGGAAAAATAAGCCATTGCACAAACCAGTTAAATCGAGGAACTTGGAATTTAAGACTTTGGATTCAAGACTGCTTTATACCTCTGGTAACACTTGGTTTAAATCAATATAGAACATGCCCAGACTTCAGGCCTGTCTTCTGAATGACCTGCTAAAGAAAATCGCATGAGGATTTGGCACTGCGTACATTGTCACTGTGTTTGTATTGCACTTTCAGGAGCTGTGTGCAAAAAAATGTACTTCATTTATAGGGAGGTGTACGTTTCCTCACATTTTGTCTGAACAAAATATTTCCTCATATTTTGTCTCTACCTGGCCATTGCATTACTGGAATGATTGCAGGATGGGTTGTAGTTCAGTTGTAGCGCATCTGTTTTGTACGTATTAAGTCCCAGGTTCAAACCTTGGCCAGAAAAGACTCTTGCTTGAGATCCTAAAGAGCCACTGCCAGTCATTGTAGGTGTTAATAAGCTAGATCACAGAACTGTAGAGTTTAAAGGACCCTTAAGGGTCATCTAGTCCAACCCTCTGCATTGCATAGACCAATAGTCAGTTGCAAGTATTTTAAGACCATTATATTCTAGTTAGTGGGAATGATTGAGGAAGTGTCTTGCACGGGTGGAGGTGGCAAATATTTATTCATGACCCCCTCCCTGAAAAAGAAACTTGGTGAGACCTGGATTTACATAAAATTACCATATGCTAATTTATAGGGATAGATGCAAATTTTGAAATAGCTACTGTACTGTAATTTAAATAGAAATAAATCACACATTGGGGCCAGATGCATTTTGTGCCTGCTTAGTCTGCTGTCCCAGCTCTGTTGATGGACAAGCCCCACCTTCTGCTGCTCTGCATTCCTTTGGTTCTTAGTATTTAAACCAGATTTGGACCCGCAGCCCATCAAAGAGAGGGCTGTCTCCTCACAGCTCTATAAATAGAGGACTGTAGTTATCTGCAAAGTAGGACAAAGTAGCTGCCCTAGAGACAGGGGAGTGTGTTTTATGGCAAGGAAAGTTCAGGCTCCTTGCTGTAGAAAACAAAGCAATTTCTAGCCATTGCAATTATTTCCCGCAGCACAATAAATGGCATTTGACTAAAGAGGTCTTCAAAGCAACCAATTAATTTACAACCATGGTGTCATTTTCATAAATGTCTATTAAATCGTGTGCATTCGGCATTATATTATGAACTTGTCATTTTCATTATAACACGAATAAGCGTGAGATTTACTGGCAAATGGGCAGCCAATAATATCAGGCTGCTGCATGCCTTTATTTAACATACACACACATACACGGAAATCATTCTGAGGGCTTCTGCTCTTTGAGGGATGCTACATCTCATTTCTTGTAGTCATACTTCTTTATAGCTGCATGTATGCAGTCAAACAGAGAGATATATTAAGAGCATGATGCTTAGGATAAGCCTGTAGGGCAAGTAATTGGGAACCTGGGCTGGACCCCAGCTCTCATCAGCCTTAGCTAGAATTTCCAATAGTTGGGGATGAAGAGAGTTGCACTCCAGCAATTTCTGGATGGCCAGAGTTTAACCATTCTTGCCTTTGGCCATACAAAATAAACTACGCCAAGGTTTTGGATTCTTCCCTCTCTAGCCAATGAGAGGTAAAGGGCTGTGCCCCAGCAGACCTTGATTGGCAGTGTTAACTGCTGCCTGGTAAACCTGAATCAAGGGCTTCCATCAGTGCTGGTGAGATCTGATAGACTGCTGGACCCTGGAAACTGCCAGAGGATGCTGAGTGCTGCTACTGACCCAGCAAACTCTGCAAAGATCTCCTCTACCGAGCATTAGGAACAAAGATCACTTTGCATGGATCAAATGATATGTAAAACACCAAATATTGGTTGGTTGGTTTTTTGTTTTTTAAAAAACAAATTACTTTCGAAAAGAGAAATTAACGATTCAGCTGTTAATGCTGTTCTGTGCAACAACCCTACCTATAAGTCAATGATCACGCGCGCACACCTGTTCCTAGCTTGCACCTGCCTGTTCTAGCACTTTTTAAAGGAAAGTGTAGCTCTGACTTATGGGAAGGAAAAGACACGGTGGGAAAATCTGATTAGTTCACTCTCAGTTCTGAGCCAGGTAAAGTCTTATTTACAATATTTTATGAGACTCTTCTCCCCCCCTCCTGCCCCCCCAACCAAGGTGACATTTAACAAGTTGATAAAAGGCAGACATATTAAAAACAATCAATTTTTAAAAGTTAATTAAGGTATTTTAAATCAGTAGCAAAATAGCCCTACAGCAAAAAGCGTTAAAAGCAAAGAGGATCTTTAAAAAAAAGCAAAAAGCTGAAGGGCTGCATTTTAATAAAGTGCTTTTAATAGTACTGCTGTTTTTACTATCTGCACATTAAATTTCTTGCTACATTGTTTTAATTCAATTATAGTTTAGTTGCTTTTTAACTATTCTGTTTGATATGTTTTTAACTTTTTGTGTTTTATCCATGCTTGTTCTAAATTTGGTGAGCCATCTTGAGTCCTGGTTCTGAGAAATGATGGCAACTGCTGCCATCTCCAAGAAGCACACACTGGCCTCTCAAGTTTCAGCTTTCTGCTGTGGGAGCTCTGCAGCTTATATTTCCAGGGATGTGTCATCAGGTAGCTTAACTCATTGTAATGGGAAAATACCATCCTTTTCTGACACTTTTGCCAGAGTGGAACCTCTTGCCAAAGGTAAACTTCCCTTTACAGCATTTTAAATACAATGCATTCAAGCACACATTAAACGTATAATGTTAACACAATGGTCTGGGTCAGCCACTGTCAAATGCTGCAATGTACTTGGGAGAACTTCAAGAAACTCCCAGTACATTTCCGAGCACAATTCAAAGTGTTGGTCCTGACCTTTAAAGCGCTAAATGGCCTCGGTCCAGTATACCTGAAGGAGCGTCTCCACCCCCATCGTTCAGCCCAGACACTGAGATCCAGCGCTGAGGGCCTTCTGGCGGTTCCCTCCCTGCCAAGTTACAGGGAACCAGGCAGAGGGCCTTCTCGGTAGTGGCACCTGCCCTGTGGAACGCCCTCCCACCAGATGTCAAAGAGAAAAACAACTACCAGACTTTTAGAAGACATCTGAAGGCAGTCCTGTTTAGGGAAGCTTTTAATGTTTAATAGGTTATTGTATTTTAA